CCTCGTGGCTCTTCTGCGTGGCTGGGCTAACAGAAAGGCAAAGTGTGTTTTGAGTCTGTTTCGTTTGTTAATAGGTTGAGCCTTCTGATACTATAGAAAATGTCAAAGCTAAGATCCAGGATAAGGAAGGTAAGCTCGATATGCACTTATTCTCTTTTTTTTGGATGGATGGATGGATGGATGTATATCTTATGCACATGTGATCATCTGCACTAACCTAATATTTTACTCTAGAATGTCATAGATCATGTTCTTCATTTAATCTTGATTCATGTCCCCATCAGGCATTCCTCCTGATCAGCAGCGACTGATCTTTGCTGGAAAGCAGCTCGAGGATGGACGCACACTGTCTGACTACAATATCCAAAAAGTGAGTAGGAGAGGCTGCACAGAGCATTGTTGGAGCAGACTGGCCTTTGCTGCTGAGCCCAAGCAATGTTTCAGATGGATTCAACCAAATGAATTGATGTAGGGTTGGGTGGCACTTCTGACTGGGGAAGTATAGAGATTCTGCTTCTAGTGTGTCCCGTCTGTCAGCCTGGGCGCTTGGCTTGCTGTGGTGAGCTGCGTTAGGGGGCTGGGGTGAAAAGTCCTGCTCACTTCTGCCAGATTAACCTGACGGGGCAGTGAGTGCCACTGGGAAGGAGGAGCTACAACCAGCTCACAGTTTGGTGTAGCTGCATTAGGAAATCATGCTGCAATTCCAGTTAGAATTGAGGATATGGGTACAGCAATTGAGCCTTCTGGGGTTTGTGATGCAGGAGCCAGTTTTCTGGAGCCTGTATATTGAATAATCCTTTTGGAGCTTTCCTAACCTGAAATCTACTTTCTGTAGATAAAAACCTGCTTAAATGCTTTTTTAATCTATTTCATGTGCTTTCCAAACAGGAATCAACTCTTCACCTTGTGCTGAGACTTCGTGGTGGTGCCAAGAAAAGAAAGAAGAAGTCTTACACAACCCCCAAGAAGAATAAGCATAAGAGAAAGAAGGTTAAGCTTGCAGTGCTGAAGTACTACAAGGTATGTAGAACTTGGCTTGATGAAAACTGAGCTCTCACCACGAAGAAGACAAAGCCTGTAAATAGTCTCTGTGTAGCCTGGTGTATTTAAATTCTTTCTATTTGCAAATATCCCACCTGTTAAATAAAAAAGAAACCAACTGTTGCAACTGGGCACTTCTGAACTTTGCTTCAAGAAGTTTGATGTAGTAACTGTTACTAAAACGACTTTGCTAAAGAAAACCACTCAAATTTATCATTGATGCTCAAAGGTGGCAATTAGGAGATACTGCCCCTCTGTCCTCCCATATGAGAACAGGTTAATAAAATTGGGGTTGTTGGAGAAGAGAAGCTGCGTGGAGACCTCAGAGCAGCTTCCAGTATCTGAATGGGGCTACAAGGATGCTGGAGAGGGACCTTCATCAGGGACTGTAGTGATAGGACAAGGGGTGATGGGGTCACACTGAAACCCGGGAAGTTCAGGTTAGATCTAAGGCAGAAGCTCTTCCCTGTGAGGGTGCTGAGGCGCTGGCACAGGGTGCCCCGAGAAGCTGTGGCTGCCCCATCCCTGGCCGTGTTCAAGGCCAGGTTGGACACAGGGGCTTGGAGCAACCTGCTCTAGGATGAGGTGTCCCTGCCCAGCAGGGATGATCTTAAGGTCCTTTCCAACCCTAACCATTCTGATTCCATGATTCCCAGGTGGATGAGAACGGCAAGATCAGCCGTCTACGCCGGGAGTGCCCCTCTGAGGAGTGTGGGGCCGGAGTCTTCATGGCAAGTCACTTCGACAGACACTACTGTGGCAAGTGCTGTCTGACATACTGCTTCAATAAACCAGAAGACAAGTAAATGTACTAGACAATAAAAATCTGAACTTCTGTACAGTTTAAGGAGTTATTTCTGCTTCCTGTGGCACTGTATTTCCTCTCTGATAAGCAGGAAAGATCTGTGAAACTTTGGATGCTGACTGCCAACTAGGATGAAAGAGTTTGTTCCTAGATGGAAGCAGCAACTTCTTTAAAGAGTGGCCTTGGTTAGTTATGTCTCCTTGAAAGGAGATAACTGGTAGCAGTGGCAGTGGGAAAAAAATGACACTGGCTAACCTTGGAAGTGGTCTCTTCAAACAAGAAAGTAGTAAACAGTAAAGATGATAGTCTGGAAAAACAGGTGAGTAAGAGGTCTGAAGTCATGTCTACAATGCTCAGAGAAAAGGGTAGTAGAGTCCTACTACATACTGAGAAATTGTATAGCAGCGCTTGGCGGGGAGGGAGGAAGAAGGTGGTGTGGCTGTTTGGAATCAATAGACATCATAGATGGATGGCTTCACACACTTGAGCTGCTTGCTGTCAATTGTTACAGTTTATCCCGTGTTCCAGTGCTGCCAAGATTTAAAAGCAGGACATTTTTACATAAACATCAGATAAGAAGAAGCTCATGTGCATCTCTGAAAGTCCATTTAATGTGAAGAGTTGAAGGCCAGCCAGGAACAATAAATGTCCTTTAGTGTTAATGCCTTTTAAAATCCTGGATCCCAGGAAGTTGTCTGTGGAACTTCTTTTTCTTCATAACAAATAATTTCATCTCCAATAATGAATTCTACATTCTTGTCCAAACTCAATCCACAATCCATGCCTGCTTTTATTACCTGGACATCATCTTTATGATGCTTCAGTGATGATAAAGATCCTACAAAGAGAAAGTGCATCAAAAAAAGAGAGTCAGTAACAGCAGAGAACAAGAAGTGGTTTCGTTTTCTGTCATGATTATGACATACACATTTTGCACTAATATCACAGGGCACCAACAGTGTCTGGACCCAATTCCTGCCACTTACCTTTCCAAATAACATCCCTGTTGCGGATTAACTTGAACTTCATTTTCCTGTCCAGCAGCCCCTTCTGCACCCTGCATCCAGCTACTGGAATTTTGTTTTTTCCTACTGTTACAAAGAAGATGTTGAGAACAGAAGCTTCCCCTGAAAGGAAAAAGTGAAGTTGTATGAGGTAGGTAAGAATAGCAAACTGGCAATAAGCAGAAGCAAGCTACACTTCCGCTGACCAAGCTTTTTAAGACCTATAGGAGAATATTAAATACTTGTTACAACAGGAACACGTCATTGGAGAATAACCCTTAGGCCACACTAGGAAGCAAGAATTTCTCACTCCATGAATACTCACCTATTGTGTTCTCCACCACAGAAAGCGGGAGCCTGCTGTTCAACTCATCTTTCAAGTCTTCAACAAGTTTGTAGATGATATTGTGAAGTTTAATTTTTATTCCCTTTTTAGCAGCCAGCTGTTTCATACTTTCATTGGCTTTCACACTGAATCCAAATATAACACCTGGTAAATAAAATAAACAGCAAGTGATGACTACAAGAGCTCACTCTTTATCCAGTAAGTCTATTCTGTAATGTTGCACTTGCAGAACACGTAGAATTAGTGGTTAGCAAAACAAGAAACAGCGTTTTACTACTTCCTTTTTAAGGAGAAACTATTTACTTCTCCCACTATTGCACATGGACTGCTACTAACCTTGAATCTAAACTAATGGCTAAAAAGGCCGTCAGAGAATGTCTGCCTCTTGACAGACCTGGAGGTCTCAAAGCAGGAACTAATGCTTACAACTCACCAGAGCTCATGTGAAGGATGAGAACCTCCCACTTTGGGGCTGGAAAAACAGCTTGGTTGTCCAAATCAATCTGGAAGTGAACTTTTAAATCATTCTTGTCCATGTATGGACTACCACAGGTCCAATGACCCCATGGTCTACAGCAGGCAAGCATTACAGGGTACATATGGGAACAACTACCAGCAGTCTTTCCAGTTACCTCCCTGAGCAAAAGGGAGTTCTTCTGTAACCTACTTTTCTAGCTTTACCCTGTTTGAGCAATCATAAAACAACCAGAGTGAAGAGTCAGAGTTTAACCTTAACAATTCAACCTGCCAAAAGTCCTTCTGGTTTTGTGGAATTTCTAGCCTCCCCCACCTGCACTGTTTGCCGTTAAAGGAAACATTTTTAAGATACATGTTTACCTTATTGATGCTGCTAATTATTGTTGAGAGAACAAAACCAGAATGAGTCCTACCCATTTCAATAAAGAGTTTGTACTAATTGTAAATCCATTTTAAACACGCACCATCAAACGCTTCAGCAAGACTTATATCAGTTTCACTGATATCTCCCATTCCAAAGTGAACAATATCCAATTTACATTCACTATCAGCATCGTAGCTGTCCAGAATGTTCAGAATAGCTTCAATGGATCCATCCACATCACCTGTGTGTATAAACAGAAGCACTGCTCACTTCGTACACGTCAGAGAAACACTGAAGTAGAACTAAACGCCTGGCAACTCCACACTACGCAACAGGAAGGCTTTTGGCATTCTTACTTTCAGCAGGATGTTAAAACACTTCTAACAAGTCTATTAATCCCAAAAATGAACTCAATAAATACAACAGCACCAGAGGATCTACATCTGCAGTCATTTTCAGGTCAGGTTTGCAGGGTTTATCAGCTACTACTGTCACTGTGTATCACTAAATATGAGGTCAAAGCAAGCTCCCTCTGGCCCACTTTAACTAATGCATAATTGTTCTTGTCCTTCATTTTGTTGATGCAGTACTGCTGCTCATAGAGCCTGTATTTCATTCTTTTAATATGTATATTTTTAATATATATTTATATCTAGAGACACTTATATGGGTTTTACTCAGGAGTTTCTGGGTTAGGGGGTCAGGCTTATAATTTTCCTGTTGCTCTGTCCCTGCTGGAAGTTCATCCTTCTGAACACTGGATGTTTTTGGATGCCCCTCCTCTTACTGAGAGAGGTTCAATAACCTGTTCAGGTTTGCAATGATCAAACTGCTGGTAACAGAATGTTCTCACTAGTTTAGCGTCATGCTTCAGACTGAGCATTTGAGAAGCACAAACCCAATGTTTAAACAGAATAGAGCAGCACCTTTAACAATTACCGATAGCACGTTTTTGTCCATCTCTCTTTTCTCTTTAGGCTTTAAAGACATGACATGCTTGTTGGCCTTGTACAGCACAGCCTTCCTCTGCCTCCAGGTCAGATGGGCTAGCGGCTTTTGCTTCTTCTCATATTCCATCCTGTGCTCCTTTTGCTTTGCCTCAATAACTTCCACATCCTTTTTCAGCTTCTCCTGTTGTTCAACGTAGGTTCTCCAAGCCACAACTTCACGCGCCCTTTGCTGGGCAGAAGACAAAAACATCACCTTTCAAGCACTGCACCAGAAAACTCCACACGAATGCAGCTTCAGTAATTTGCATCTTCTATCTTCTCTACAGGCTCACTCATTTACTTTCACATTTAACAGTAGATTTTGCTGCAAGGATGGCAGAGAATGAGCACAATAGCTTCTTCCCTGGGCTATGACATGACTCAAAGCTTATTCTTATGGTAACTGCACTGCAGAAGAGAATTATTGTTCATTATTCCATGTGGTATTTGGCCAGCTCTCACCACACCTATTTCGAGCTTTATTTTATGCATATTCTTGACAGAAACTAGTTCTCTCATTCTAAAATTAAAGCACTGATATAATTAAGTAGTGGATTGTTCCCCCGGTAGGATGATAGTGTGATCATATAAAAGTCTTCTGTGCCTTTAGGAAGGGAACACAGAACATATCCTGGATATTCCTCTTTCAGAGCACCTAGTTCAGGTCTTAATACTCTTCTCAGCCTTTGTGTTTGACCAGATTATCCAGGTTATTTAGAACAAAAGCTAACACTTACTTTTTACTCAGCTCCTTCCCCTCCACCTGACTGCAGTGTGAGTTTTCCATTAAAGAGATCTTTCTGTACCTCAGATTCTACTTCAAGGATCTCATCTCCTGCCGAAGGGACTTCCTTCCAGCCCATGATTTCCACTGGGATGCCGGGAGAGGCTGCATCGACAGCTTTGCCATTCTCATCAAACATGAAACGCACTTTTGCCCACGTCTTCCCTGCAACCAGAATACAGCCTTTTCTCAGAGTTCCTCTTTGGATGATGGCTGTGGTAACTGGACTAGTGAAGAGAGAGGAGAAAAATAACAGGCAAAATTAAAGTGGCTCTTCTCCCCTTTTTTGCAGTTAGCTTTGGTAAGCAAACACATTTAACACATTTAGTGAACTCAAAAAAACCCACCCAAACCCCAACAACTTTCTAGAATTCAGTTCATTTTTAGAGGGCAAATCACACCTTATTATCCCTTTTCTACCTGCAAAGGGACCACAGGTTCCTTTTAAAAGAGCACAATATCATGTTACACATAATTCACAAAAAATTGTGTATGTATTATATTAACTTCATCATTCCTATCTTTTAATGAAACTTAAAAAATTGCATCTGTTGTAGCATTTTAAGCTGTTTCCTGTGCTTACAGGATTTCATTTCAGCAATATGAGGAATTTTGCACTATCAGTTTATAACTTTGTTTTCTGCCTCTCACGCAGTACAATAACATTTTGATGCTTTAGTTACAAACAATGTAAAGAAACGGTTACAGTTTAACAACAATAACAACAAAGAGTTCACTGTTAAACATAAATCCTGAGGTACAAACTGGCTGAACAGCATCTCTGCACTGTTACAAGTTGCTTCATTAAAACCGGAAAGGCAGCAGGTTACTTACCCTTTCCCTTTGTCTTTGCGAGACTCGATTACAGTCCCCTCTACCAGACCCGTGGCATCTGCCTTCAGTTCCAACATCTCTGCTAAAGCAACAGTTGCTTCTGCTAAAACCACCAGATTTTCACCCTGTATAAACCATACAAACAGAGAAATATATATATATTAAAAAATAAGCCTTGCAATATTCTGCTACAAGTGTATTAGGAATTGAAAAACAAACCCAAAACACAACC